ATATCCGCCGTCAACAAGTTGAATAGGTACGGGCTCAGCGGACACCCTTGCCTCACCTCTCTACTTGTCCAAAATTTGTTCCCCAACTCCCCCCCTGTTCTCACCTTATTTCTCGTCTCCTTATATAACTTCCCACACCTTCTCACTAATCCCTCTATTACTCCCTTTTCCTTCATTGAGCTTAACAATAACTCCCTGTCCACCGTGTCGAATGTTGCCCTCATATCCAGAAACAATGCTAATTAACTTCCCCCCTTCCTACTCAAATTCCTGCCCACTAAGTAATTCACCACGTATATATTATCCATAACCCTCCTTCTCCTCTTAAAACCCGCCTGATTCTCCGGCATCAATTTCTTCCCCTCCATCTCCTCCCTCAACCTCTCCGCCAGTACTTCCGCATATACCTTATAAAGCGTCCCCGCTAGTGTCACCCCCTGTAATCCTCCACCTTATTACCTTCCCCTGTCTTTAGCACCGGTACCACTATACCCTTGCTCCACACATTCATCACTCCACCCTTCACTTACCCAAATTCTCCCACACACATTTCACACCCAGTCCTCCATATTTCTCCCTCCAAACTTCCACATTTCTGCCGGTATACCATCCCCCCCTGCTGTCTCCCCTTTTTTCAACTTTCCAATCGCCTTTACTACTTCTTCTCTTCTTAAACTCTTCTCTCCTTCTCCCCTTATTCCCTTTTCACCTCTCACCACTTTCCAGTCCACCCCTTCCCCAACTGCCCCTTACAGTATCTTTCTTATTCGCCTAACTCTATCCTCCTTCCTCCTCCCCTCCTCTTCCTTGTTTCTCTATTTACCACTTTCCACACCTGCCCCACCGTTTTCGCTCTTTTAATCACCTCTTTTGATATTCTATTCTCTTCCTCCTTTTTCCTATTACACATCACTCTATGTCCTCTTTTCTTTTCTTTATATTCATCCTTACACCCTCTCCCCTTGCTCCACTTTCTCAATTCCTCCTTACTCTCTTCTTTTTCTCTTTATACTCTTTATCTTACTACCCCCTTCCCCTATTCCTTACCCTACCCACCTCTCCTTCTCCTACCACTCTTTTTATTCTCTTTTTCATATCTTCCCAGTCCTCTTCTACCTCCCTTCCTTTATCCCTCATCTCTTTCTGCATTTTCTCTACCCACATTCTTTTTCTCTCTTCCGTTCAGATTATCTTTTTTATTCTATCTTTCTTATTCTCTCTCTCTCTCTTTCCATTCCCCACCCAGACAAGTGGTTACCGGCATGAGTTATTCTGTTTTGCGGCCTAAAGCTTATTTTGCTGTACTCGCATCTATTCTAAGTCTATATGCTATGGTTAAAAAGCGCAAAGCTTAAAGGCGGTGTTTTTAAGAAAGACTCTTTTGACCAATCAGAACACCTTTTGATTTCTAACCGGGTTCTTGAAGAGATTTTTGAATGAGACTTACTGGGTGGTATTTACACGAGTTTAGAGCGCAAAAATACGCGATAAAGCTACTGACCAATCAGATCGTTTCTCGATCTTTTGACCATGTTCCTGAACGTACTTTCGAGAAAGAGTTAGTGGATCCTACTCGCAGGCGTCCAGAGGGTTAGAAAACGCAATAAAACTTTTGACCAATCAGATTGTTTTTTACTAGACTGACCGACCAATGAAACTACCTTTACTTGAAACTTTGGTAAATGGAGCGAATTTTTGGTACAGACCGGCTGCTATACGTCTGACGCACTTAAATAATGACTTTTTGCTCTCAGCCAATCAGACTGTTTTCCGAATTTTACTCGGGTTCCAAAACAAAAATTTGAGAACTGACCACTGGACGTGACCCACAAAGGTTCAGGGCTGCGTTCCAAAATTCTACTCCGTCAACTCTAAAGAACCCAGGGTAGTGGGGGTAAAGAGTAAACCAGAGTAAGTTACGAAATTAAGCGGTTTTGGAACGCAAAAAAGTAAGAGTCAGGGCCTGAGCACGATAGAGAAAATATTTTATTTTTATCATTGTATAGTACATTTAACTTCAAATTCTAATTCTTATTAGTAATATTTTTTTTATTGTGCTCAGGCCCTCACAAAATGGAATTTAACAGGAACAAAACAGAAGTTGTTTTGTTGAGTATTATCGCGTATAATGAAATATTTAAAAATGTTGTAAACATAAGTGATAGTGAAAGTGAAAGTGAGATGAATGAATTATTGCACATAATGCAAATTTCTCGATTAAGAGGAAAACGAAAAAAAAGCCGTTCGCATACAGGGTTATGTGGACTATGTAGTACCTAGATTTTCAACATATCAATTTAAGGAGCACTTTTGTATGACACCAAACTGTTTTCACTTATTGGAAAATAAATTGAGTTTAACATTGTCGAAANCTAATAAAATAGGAAGACCTTTCATATCGCCAAGAGTACAATTACTCGCTACCTTATGGTTGCTGGCAACTCCTGATTCTTACAGGTGAGTATGCNAGACTTATTTAAGAGTCACAAGACAAATTATTTAGATCTGACAAATCTTAGATTCATAGTCTTTTAAAATATGCAGTTANATCCAAATGACGTAAAATGTGATGCATACTTTTATACTTTCAAATAATGAAATTGTTANTAACAATTAACACATTGCATATTGTTCAGTTTCAAGCAGTAATTAGTTTTTATATTGTTTTNATACTTATTGAATTATATACATGATTGTATATATTGAAAGTTTTTTTATTGCAGAAGATAGTTGCAAGCATAATAATCAAACCTAAAAAATATACTTTTCTCTAATTAATTTTATAATGTACTTGCAAATAATAACTTTTATATATTTAACAATAAAGTACATCTGTTACAGGTCAGTGGGACTTCAATTTAATTTGGCAAAATCATCATTAAGCCACTGTGTGCGACGTATTGTGCAGGCTCTCTGTAAAATCTCAAGTGATATTATAAAATAGCCACTTGCAATTCACATGAATACTGTTACAGAGAAATTTCACCGAATAGCTGGTCTTAAACACGTTGGTGCTATTGATGGTACACATATCGAAATTCCAGCACCATCCGTAAGTTTTTTAAGCATTATTCTTTTTAATCTAATGCTTTATTTGATTAATGAAAATAAATATTTGTTGTATAGATAAACACTCGGTGTTATTTAACAAGAAAGTGCAGATACGCCGTTACATTACAAGCAATATGTAATGCAGATTTACATTTNATTGATTGTTTTGCTGGTTATCCTGGGTCTGTGAATAATTTCAGAGTTTTTTGTAATTCTGACATTTGGCACAACATCCAGAGAAATTCTCACTTCTTTTTTCCTAATGAAGAATTTATCATANGGGACAAAGCGTACCCTGTACGTAAATGGTGTTTGGCACCTTACAGANATAATGGTCATTTGACACAGGTAAATTGTAATTTTAAGAAACTAATATTAGGATATTTCAATTAATACTAAGTACTTTTAATACTATATATTTTAATTTTATTAGTCGTATTGTTATTATATATTTGTATATATTATTATTTTTGTGTTACAGGTCCAAACCAATTTTAATCATATATTATCACGAACTAGACAAACGATAGAACGTGCCTTTGCATTATTAAAAGGTCGCTTTCGGCGTCTGAAATATTTAGACATGTCTAGAGTGGATTTAATATCAGCGATAATCTTGGCTTGCTGCGTTTTTCATAATATATGTTTACAGAATATTGATGATATTGAAAATTATATTTTAGAAGGTAGAGAAAATGATCAAGATATAGAAGATTTTGAAGAGAATGAGCAGGATGGAGATCAGCGTGAAGATAATGATGATGAGGGTGAAGCAAAGCGCAATTATTTTACATTATATATTTTATATAAAAGAAGAATATAATGATTGTAGTTTAATGTATGTAGAAAACTATATATGTATGTATATATGTGGGTTGTAAAATAAATATATTATATTTTCTGTTTTATATTGTTTATTAGTATTATCTTGTCCACATTTTTTTAGCACATAATATCTTATTTATTATGCATATCAATAATCTAATATTTGATATAGAAAGACCATTAAAGCTCTGATTATCAGGTCAACTAAAAATATTGATATATTTATTAATTTTACCATTTATATATTAACTTTGTGTCTCTATCCTAACTTGGTTTTTCCTTAACTTTTAACAACATAAAATTGCCATTTTTTAAAACAGCTTTTAATACTTAGTTTTTTTGCTAATGTCTGATCACAGTACTCACTTTAATAGTCTGAAATCACAGTACTCGCTTAAGTAGAATTTATCATAGGAGACAGCTTATTCTGTACATAAATGTTGTTGAACACTTTACAATGGTCATCAAATAATATATGATATATATATATGATAACATACAAACATACAATATATGATAACATAGAAACATAAAAATATCTGATTTGAATAATTAGTATGTTACTTTGGAATGTTTCATTTTATAAGTAAAAAATTAAAAAAAATAGAAGCGCTTAAATGTAAGGAAATGTTTAAACTACAATTTTTCCAATAACTTGCTCATTACTTCCTTGTAAGTTTCTACAGCTTCCTTTTGATATTCCAGTCTTTCTTTATGCCTTCTCTCTTTTGCTTTTTTATTTTTTTCAATATATTCTGTTAATGCATGCAGATGTTTTTCCATCTTACTTTTTTTCGGAGGAGGTGCTATGTCACTGTCTTCATCAGATTTTTGCTCTTCATCAAGTGAAAAAGATGAAACTTTTTGTGACAAATTTGATGCAAGAGCTACAGGCTGTACAATAGATTTTCCATATATCTCTTCCATCTCATCATAGTATTTGCATTTCTTATACGATGCTCCGGACTTTGAGTTATGATCTTTTACTTTAATATAATTTTTCCTTAAATTTTTCCATTTATTTTCGATTTGCTTTACAGTATACGTATACCCTTTTTCTTTTAGGCAATTCCCAATTTTTTTCCACACAATGTTATTTCTAATTTTTTCATTCTTAACTAAAGAAAGATGATCTTTATATAAACAAAAAAGAAGCATAATTGCTGAATGTTCCCAATGTGTAGCTATAACACGAAATAAATATAACATACAAATAATATAATTGTGAATATGTAAAGATAATAATAAAACTATGTAACTTATTTAGGCATAATTAGTATATATTTTAACTCACCACTTTGATCTTTATCATTATCAGAGATATTTTCAATATTTTTGACGCAATTGTAGGTAACATTTTTACTTAAATCTATAAGTATGTATTATCAACAATGTTAATGTATAAATCTTATAATCGTTAAATATTTAAGAAATGTTATAGATAGATATAGATTTTATTGATTCCTTTCCGGGTTACAATCTTTTTACATACTTCCTTACTTGCTATCTTACTTACTAACTTACACTACCGCTTTACATTTCCTTACATTTAACTTAACCTAAACATCTTAACCTATCCTAATTCGCTTCTACCCACACACACACACTCTCCCAACCCTTTGGACTTCCACTTCCGGCGCTTTTCTCACTTCCCCCCTCACTCAATCTCATTCCGCCTCTCTCTCTCCTTCCCACCTTCCAACACTTTCACTCCATTTCTCATTTTCACCCATCCTCATTCATCCTCATTCTCTCTTCCATTTGTACCCTCTCCATCCACTCTCCCCTTGCCTTCCACCCCTCTCCATTCTTCTATTTTCTTTAACCAATCCTCCCCTTCCCCTTCCTCTCCTAATATTGTCTCCACCATTACCTCCCAGCTTCTGTCCACTCCCCAATCCACGCACTCTTCCCATACATGTTTCCAGTTCTCCTCCTTTACACCACACATCCGACATTTCCTCCCTTCCTCCTCCTCCCAGTACTTTGCTCCCCTCATACCATTCCCTAACCTATATCTCGCCACCCTTTGCCATCTTCTTTCCCCCCATTCTTTCTTTAAATATCCCGGAATTCCCTCACCTTTTATCCTTTGATACCACCCGTTATACTTCGAATTCTTTATTCTCTCCCATCTCTCACTTCTCTGTATATCCTTTTCTCTTTCTATTAATTTCGCCATCCTCCTCCCGTCATAACCCTCTTCCTCCCTTTCCGAACTCATCTCCATCTCTCTTCTACTGTAATACTCCACTCTCTCTCTTTCCCATTCTGATAACTCCTCCCTCTTCTCCGCTCTACTCCTTATTTCCTCCCAACATCTTCCCATAATCATCCCCCCCTCACCTCTTCTAATCCTTTCTTCATATCCCACTGCCCTTATTCCCGCCTTTCCTCTCAAAAGCTCTCTCTGCAACTCCTCCCTTATCATATACCCCGGTGTCGTCCACTCTACATTTAATACCCACCTCAAATACCTTTCGTGCAAACTCTATCTTCCTCCATTCCTTCCATCCCCACACCTCCACTCCATATCCTACCACCGACCACAACAATGTAGCAAATAGCCAAATTCTTCTCCCCCAATCCCTTCCAAATCTCCTCTTTCCTATCCCCCACACCTGTCCCATCACCGCTGCCCCTTTCCTTACTCTTTCCTTAATTTGCTCATCTAACCCCCCATTCCTCTGAAATACAAACCCTAAGTATTTAAACTTTTTAACCTCCTCTAATTTCTTCCCTCTCCAGTACCATTACGTCATTTTTTTTCTTCCCCCACCTTTCCTAAATCGCAACACCTTAGACTTCTCCACATTCAACTCCAATCCCTTTTCTCTTATATACCTTTCAAATCCTTTTATTAAATTTCTCATCCCTTCTTCCTCTTCCGCCATCAACACAATGTCATCTGCATACGGTAAGGAGAAAACCTTACCTCCCTTTACATTTACTCCTCACCAACCCCCTTTACTCATCTCCTCTTCCAAGTCTGCCAATAACATATTGAATAACCCAGGGCTCAGAGGACAGCCCTGCCTCAACCCTCTTCCTACCCAAAATTCCTTCCCAATCCTTTCCCCCCTTCTCACTCTAATCCTCGTTTCCTTATATAGCTTCATACACCTTTCCACTAACTCTCCTCCTACTCCTCTTTCTCTCATTCCCTTCTCCAACACCTCCCTATTTACAGTATCAAACGCTGCCCTCAGATCCACGAAAAACGCTACCAATTTCCCCTTTTTTTTACTCAAGTTCCTATTCACCAAATAATTCAAAATATAAATGTTGTCCATTGTCCCTTTCCCCTTCCTGAAACCTGCTTGGTTATCCCCTATCAGACCTTTTCTTTCCACCTCCACTCTTAATCTCTCTGCCAATACTCCCGCGTATACTTTATACAAAGTCGAGGTCAGCGTCACTCCTCTGTATTCCTCCAACTTGCTTCCCTCTCCTCTTTTCAACACTGGCACTATAATCCCCTCGTCCCAGTCCCTTATCCAGCCTTCCCCTCTCCATATCCTTACACATATCTTATACACCCATTCCTTCAATCCCACTCCTCCATACTTCCACACCTCCGCCGGAATCCCATCCCCTCCCACCGCCTTTCCATTCTTCATATTCCTTATCACTTTCTCTATTTCCTCCCATTGTATCTCCTCCTCATCATCCTTCCTTAATCCTGATCTCTCTCCCATCACCACCCTCCACTCTACTCCTCCGAATTGCTTCCTAAAATAATCCTCCCTCTCCTTCAATTCTATTTTTACCCCTCCCCCTCTTCTTCTCCTCCTTTCCCCATTCACGATTCCCCACACTTGCCCTTCTGTTCTCGCTCCCTTTACTACCTCCTCCCACCTCCTATTCTCTTCCCATCTCTTTTTCTCACATAATTCTCTATATTCCTTTTTCTCTCTCTTAAAATCCTCTTTCTCCCCTTCATCCCTCCTCCACCTTTTTAATTCTCTTCTTACCCTTTTCTTCTTTTCCCTACACTCCTCATCCCACCATCCTTTTCCATCTATTTTCTTCCCTCTTTCTTTCCTTTTAAAGACCCTCCCCACTCGTTTTTTCATTTTTTCCCATTCAACCTCTATCTCCTTCTCCCCCGTTTCCCTTTTTCCCAATTCTTCCTCCAACCTTTGACTACCTTCCTCCGACCATCTTATCCTTTCCACCCTTTTTACCACTTTCTCCTCCCTTCTTCTTCTCCTCCCACTTCCTCTTACTCTCACCCATACAACCACAGGATGATGGTCTGAATCCATTTTATCCTCCACTACCAATTTTGCCACATCCTCCTTTAACCATGCCTCCCCTATCACGTAGTCGATTACCGACTCTCCCTTCCCTCCAGATGAGGATGGGGAGTATATGTCCACTCCCCATCCTCATCTCCCCTCGTGTCTCCATTCCAAATAGACCATCCCACCTCTTCTATTTTACTCACCAACTTCCTTCCCTCCGCATTGATCTTCCTATCTTTCGATCTCCTTCTTATCACTTCCCCCCTTTCCTCCTTTTCCACCATTTCCCCACCTTCCCTTCCTGTTCTTGCATTAAAATCACCTCCTACAATTGTTTTCACACCCTCTTCTTTTTCTTCCATTAGACCTTTTATCTCATCCAACATTCTTTCCACTCCTTCACTAATGTACAATCCTATCATTTTCCACCATCCATCTCCTATTTTTATATTTCTAACCAGAATCCCCTCCCTCTCCTTCCAGTTCACTTCTTCCTTCCATTCTAACTCTTTTTTTACTCCCATCATCATACCCCCTTTCGCTCTACCTTTCTTATTCCTTTTCTTTGCCCACTGCACCTTCCAATTATATTCCCTCGGCATCATGCCTTTTACTTTTTCTCACCCCTTTTCATCCACCCATGTTTCCATTAAACACATTATATCCCATTCCCTTAACCCTTCCCAAAATTCCCTATCCTTATTTCTCAATCCTGCAACATTCCAAAACGTTATCTTTTTTACTTTCTCCCTCTCTCTTCTATCCTCATTCCTACCCCCTCCTACTACCTCCTCCGTCCTTTCCTTACCCTTCCCCTCTATTTTATTATCTCCCTCCCCCCCGCCTTTTGTTCCCCCATACTTCCTCTTTCTCCCTTTCTCTCACTTCTCTCCATCCTTCTCATTTTTTCCAATTCCCCTATCTCCTCATTCCACTTCCACCAATCACTTTCAATTTTTATTTTATCTCCCTCCACCCATACATTCTTTCCCTCTTGCCTTTTCTCTACCGCTATTTTACCCAACTCTCTCCTTATTTCCCTTTCCTTCCACGTCCAGTCCTCATCACTCCAAATCCTTAATCCCCTTAGGGACTTCTTCTTTCCCCATATTAACTTCTTATCTTCCTCCCTTCTTAGTTTAATCCACACCATATCCCCCCTCTCTCCCTTTCCTATACTCAATCTCCTCATTTCCTCACAACTTACCTCTACCCCCATTTCTCTCCATATCTTTTCCACTCCCCATTTCCAGTCACCTTTTTCCTTCTGCACCCCTTTAATCACTAAGTTCTTTTTTCTTCTTTCCTCTCTATCCCTTCACTCCAAATTCCTTTCAATCTGATCCACCCTTCCTTCTAATTTCTCCTTACTCTTTCTACTCCCTATATCCCCTTCCTTCTTTCCTTTTCCAATTATTCCTTTCTCCCTCTTCTCCTCTTTTTTCTCCAGCTTCTTCACTTTCTCCAATAATCCATCTCTCTCCTCTCTTACCCTCTCTTCTTTTCTCTTCCATTCTTCCACTTCCCTTTCCATTTTTTCCAACCTCCCAACATATTTCTCCAATTCTTTTTTCACTACTCTCAGCTCCTTCCACATATCCAACTTTCTCTCCTCACTCCCTCTCCCCTCTTCCTCCCTCTCTTTTCTTCCCTGCACCAACTTCCCCCCCATCTCCTGCGGTGATCTCTGCACTTTCTTACTACTCCTAAATACCTCTTCCTCCTCTTCTTTTCCTCTATATTTCTTTCCTACCTCCCTTTTCCTCTTCAACCACTTCTCTAGTACGTTACTCTCACTCACCGACCTATCCCTCTTACTTCCTTCCATCTGCCTCCATATCTCTACTTTATTTTTCCCTTTACCTACTTCCTCAGTCATTTTATTTTCCTCTATCCAAAATTCCCTAGATACCTTTTACTAAACTCACTTTACCACTCCTTCTGCACTTCTGCACTTTTCACTCCTGACGCTTTACACGCTCCTTACACTCCCACACTACTCTTCCTACAACCTAACCTCAATCAACTCCTATCTTCTAATTCCACCCTATTTCACCCACCCTCTCTCCCTCTCTCACTCTCCACCACACTCTCACCCACACTTCTCACCTCCTCTACTCCGCTCCACTCACTTCGCTCACTCCTTTCACACTCAAACGCCTCAAATTTCTTTATAATTACAACGCTTTCTCGCACCGATTCACAACATTCGCTACCGAAAACGGAAGTCCCGGTAAAGAAATGTTATAATAAATAATAACAATCAATACAATCTGACTATTAGACTATATATCAAAGATTGTAATTGAAGATTAAAGATTGGAATTTAATCAAGAAACAAAGAAATCTGAACTCATTTTATTCTGATTCGTCAAATTCCAATCTTTAATTTTTTAATTTTTAATGCATAGTCTGATACAAGCTTTAACGAAGTAACAAGTACAATTAGTGATTACTAGATTAATAGACCTTTTTTTAGACAGTCATCTAAAAATATATCTTTGGAACAGTCATTTGAAGATATATCTTGGGAACAGTCATCTGAAGATATATCTTTGGGACAGTCATCTGAGGATATATCTTTGAAATTTTATTTAAAGAATTCCCGTACTATTGGTATATCGGGTACTGCAAAGGTATTTTAGTAGTGTTATAAGGCCGGTTCTAACCCAAGGGCTCCAAGGGGGGAGCGGGGTATGACGTCACAGGGGGAGGGGTGACGTCACACGGAGGGGAGGGGGTATGACGTCAAAGGGGGAGGGGGTAATGACGTCACGCGGGGGTGACGTCACAGGGGGAGGGGTGACGTCACTATGACGTCACGCGGGGGCGTGGCTCTGACGTCACAGGATATGACGTCAC